ATGGTGATTGCGTTCCTGGTTGGCTATCGGCTGACTTTTGGACATCTACCATTGTGGCTTGCTTTTTTATTTACTTAATTTATAAAAGAGGGCCTCTGGTTGACCAGGCTGGTCCCGGTAATGGTTATGCTCATAGTTGGTAATCGACTGACTTTGGAGTATTTACTATTACGATTTAGTTTAGAAATTTTCTGTATAAGCAATAGTCACACTAGTCCTAAGTGATGGTGATTGCGTTCCTGGTTGGCTATCGGCTGACTTTTGGACATCTACCATTGTGGCTTGCTTTTTTATTTACTTATTTTAAAAAAGGGCGCCTGGTTGATAATTTATTGATCAGGCTGGCCCCAGTGATGGTTGTGCTCTTTGTTGGTAGTCGACTGACTTCGGAGTATCTACCATTGCGACTTGCTTTTTTCTTTGATCTTATTTACTTAAATAAATAAAGGGGGAGGTGTTATAAGGGGATGTTATAAATGGGGGTGTTATAAGAGAGGTGTTATAAGGAGGGTGTTATGGGTGGTGTTATGGATGGTGTTATGGGTGGTGTTATGGGTGGTGTTATGGGTGGTGTTATGGGTGGTGTTATGGGTGGTGTTATAAAGGGGGTGTTATAAAAGGGGGGGTTCTTGGTTGGTGGTCGGCTGACTTTCACGAAAATATTAATTGCTTTTTTTTAATAATAGGTGAAATCGGAAACATCCAATAAATGTTTAATGATTTATTGGCAAAATTTTATCAATGCAAAAAAAACAAGTCAGGATTTATTACATGTTTTTATTGCTTTCTTACTGGTGTGTTCCTACTGACTTCGTTTATTATGTTAACGTTAAATAGGTATCTGTAGTCTAATATATTGGAAACATGATTGTTTCAAATTTCTTAAGTCGCAATATCAAGTAAGCTGGCTAGTAGTTTTGTAACTCATCAAATTTCAAATGAGCATACCAAACTTACAAATATACTGTCTTTGATCTTATTATTTTAATGTGGATGTATACGTCATAAACCAGAAGAAATAGATTTGAAAAATGAATCGAAATGAAAGAAGCTCCGATATTAATAGACCGACGACCTACAGCTTAATAACAATATTAATAACAACAGCAACGAAAATAATAATTTCAGAACAATATGTTTAACAAAATTCAATAGACTATTTTCTTAATTTCTGTCTGATCTTTATATTTTCAATGGAATCGGACAATAGTATTATATAGACTGTCTTTGGTTGACATTATTTACTTAACGCGGATTGTTTTCGAAGTTTATATAGTAATTTTTTTTATTGTCCACTTAATTTCTCTAATTAGTATAACCAGACCATTCGATTTTAATTAGTCATATTTGTAAACCTTTTTTTACAAAGTTCAACCTAAAAAATTTTGAATTTTCAACCTACGATCAAAATATATATATTGCAAATTTTTATCGATCGCTACGTGTATACTTGCTCAACCACAGGTACGCTTTTTTGACTCGCATTTTTCAAAAACATGATTAATTTTGTCATTGTTGACGAGGAGGATAGTTGCAACGTTTGCTAGAAACATCGAAGATGACACCACCAGCATACAAGCAAGTTCGGATACATCCCAAAAATTAATTATGATTTAAACTGGTGGCATGGAAACATACAAATAGGCTGTAAACTAAATATAATTACTGGAATCAATAGTTTTCTTAGTAAGTATATTAGCTATCCAGCATTTTTAAAGATATTGACAATTTTTGGCGTGATGAGAAATCTGTTAATTGGATATCGCAGAAGTCGAATTGTTGCCAACATAATCAATTTAGCAAACAAAGATAATTATCAGTTATCAAAATGATTTATTACAACTCCGGTATTTTTATTCAGGAAATTTCAAAAAGGATAAAGTTAAAATACTGTATGTAAAAATAACCACAAATTCGTGTACATAGCCACCCACCCATCATCTCTCTCTACTTTGTATTTGAAATGAGTAGAGAGGATGGAATTATGCTGAGTAACGAAAAGATGAACAAAAATCTTTCGACCTTGTCGTTATGGACCAAATTTATCTTGATTACCATGCAATTGATATGACATAATCCAAAGCTAATCCAATCTTAAACTAGTTTTAATAGAACTTTTGTCATTATCGATTATATAACAAGCTGCGTAATATTAATAATTTATTATATAAAATAGATTTAGAGGTTTGGGTAACATCACATTCTAAGAAGCAACGGTAAATACAAAATATAATCTTTTCTTGATGTTAATTAGAAAAAATCCCGCAAATATCATCATTATACCAATCGGTATGTCGAGTCAGTGTCCATTTTCGCGCAGTACGTATACGACATCTAATTGTGTAAATGTCATACACACAAATCGAGGTTTGACGGTTATGTGAAAATTCAAATACTTATTCAATATAGCTAACAGGAATACACATGTTCTTGATGTTTGTAAAGTTTCATGCGCGATTGCTTCTAGCAATATCTAAAATAAGGTATTAAACTTTATTATAGACCAATTAAATCGACAAATGTTTATAGTAGTCCTGGTATAACATAATACAACTTAAGAAAATAAGCGCACACAACCTGTTATCGTCATGCAAAAAATAACATGCACTTCTATATTTATCAATTTGAAATAGAATAACGTTAATTTGCATTTTGCGAATTCAGAATCAAAAACTGTATTTACAGAATTTCCCGTTTCACACAAATAATTTTTATCAGATAATAACGATAACGTCTAAAAGACCAGCGATCCTTCATGATTTGACTTTGAATTATCACAATAAACATTAGTTGATGCACAAACAGATTCACGAAAATATAAAGGCCAGTTTTTCGCTCACAAGAAAAACTTTACAATTATCTGGTAATCGATGATTGATAACATACTCCGGTAATCAGTGATTGATAACGATAAAAATAGAATGAAACTTTATTATTCCCATACTATTATCTTGTGATTCGACGTATCTCACACAGAAAAATAAACTATAATAATGGACAATTAATTAAATCCATTATAAAAATTACCAGTAATCAATTTGGATCCAAAGAAAAATAATTACATGCACGTATATTATTTCAAATATCCAGTATCTATCATACATGCATATATAAATTATTTAAATTAGCATCATCATTTTTAATTAAAAACACTTTTTCCTGAGTAAGAGGAAATATATAACTTATAATTTCCAAATTGAAACTCGACTATGATCGTGCACAGAAATTTAACGATTATTTGCGAAACTTGGAAATCCTTTTGCATGTATGCTGATTAACGTTAATTTTATTTGTAATATTAACAATAACATAAATCGGTAATTGTCGCATATAAAGGTGACAGGAGCGAAAATACGTGTATGTATTATTTTGCACATGATCCACTGGACTTATAAAAACTCAACTTAATGAATGCGCATATATTAATCGACAAACGCATGACTATTAAAGGAGAAGTGTGTCGCTGTTATTTCCGTGTACATGCATTCATATGTACATGTACATGTATATCAATGAGTTTGCGTTTCAAGTAAATTAAAATAACAACATAGCCAAAAAAAACTTTTACTAAATATCTTGAATCTGAAAAATTCCTAGTTCTCGCCAAAAAGGGTTAACAAAGAAATGACGAGTATCCTTAAATTTTTGGTCTGAATAACCTTTTGTTCTTTCTCAACTTGTTCCAACCACCGCCACCATAACCTAATACAATGAAGCTGCTACTGCTGCTGCTGCTGCTGATCATTAATATTAGTCGATATTATCATATATACATGTAATAATAATCATGTAAAAATTATAAATTAAATAGAAAAGGAAAAGAGATAGCTCAAAATAAATAATTGTGCCACTACTAAAAACCATAAATGCCTCACTCCCTCTGCTCTTGGTGATTTTTGCTCTCTCTTTACTTTTCCTTTCTTTCTTCATAAGAGTAAGAGTCATATTTATTAAATGATCGTTTTTGCCTTACCTTTTACAATCTCATTCAGCCATTGTCATCAGTCACCATTATCATAGTTATTAATGCGACAATCATTATCAGTTATTACAATTGTTTTTTTTTGTTTTAATATTTTTGTTTATTTTTTGTCAGAGAGAGCATATAATTTAACGTTAAATAACGAACCAAACCAAAAAAGAAAATTATTTCACTTTTTTAGTAAAAAACAGAGATTATCGCCAAATCAACAAATAAATACTAAATACATACATACATATTATAAAAGCTTCAAAATGGATTTAAACACAACAGATACAACACTAAAGTATTGCGATTGGCGTGTAGAAATCTACAATTGCCACCACACTCAACTATGGGTTGCAGAGATAATATTTTCGACGATATCATACGGAATTTTAGCAATATCGGGTGCATTTATCTTCTACTGTCGAGTTCGATACATGTGGCAAGGATTATTTGTGGATCACGGAGGAACCGGAATACGTCCATTACCAGTGGATTGTTTGCTGTTGTTTTTTATGATTGCGGCATTTGTTAGAGCTATTCACAGTGCATTTTTACTGGGGGATGTTTATACGGCATACTGGCAGCGTGAATTGGGTGAAGAATTTGCCTGGACTATTTTAAGTTATGGTGCTGTTACTTATCTCATTGGTAAGCAATATGTTATTATAGATATTTCTTTATTGAATAATGCTAACTCAAAATTAATATATTCTTTTCTTTATTTAAAGGAATAATATATACAATTCCTGTAAATTATACGCGCGGTACATCCGCTCTAGTTTCATTACAAACCAACAGAGAAACAACGAACGGAGATGCAAATAAAAGTAGCACCCCTAATGCACTTAGTTTTACAACGCACGAACTATTCCTTCCAACCCCAAATCAATTAAACATATGTCTATTAGTCGGGTGCCTATGGCCATCACTAATCGCACTACCAAGTGCAATACTCTCTGGTCTAGCGCGAGACCGCGGAGACTTCGTCACCGCAAGCAAATTCACCACAGTACAATACAGCGCTAACTTTGTTTTTGACATTGTATTTGCAGTAATCACCGCATACTACGGCCTGAATTTCATACTAATTCTCCGAGGAACACTAAAACAATCCAAACAAAAATCGGGTGCTTCATTCTTTAAGAAAAATAGTAGCCAGACACGAAAAGCTTTTCATCGGCTGAAATACACGATGGCCTATTTGTTTTACATCTCGAGCTATTCGGGGCCGTGGTGGCTCGTTTGGGCAATCGCGCATAAAAAAATCATCGCCTCGATAAATGGTATCAATGTCTATTTGTCGATCATGTGGTATATTGCCGGACCACAACTAATGATTGTCGTTTGTCAGTTTGTGCTTGCAAGGCGTATCTATCAACAATTGTTTAGTCGAACTGATAATGGCCATCGTACAGTTGCCACAAATGGTGCAAATGGTCCTGTATCACCGAAATCTCCTGATTCAGTTTTTTTTATGAATCCCAGTTCTGCCGCTGCTAATCATTTGGCGTTGGAAATGAATCCTTTGGATAACAACAACAACAACAATAACAATAATAATGTTAATCAATGGGAATTGATATCACTACCTCAATTTGAGGGAGGCAATAATAGTATATAATATTTTGTACTTGTTAGAGAAAAACCTTTTAGTTTATTTATTTGTAATTAATTCATTCATTCAATTTGCATAAATCATATCGATATACATACAAAACACATACATACAACAATCACACACAACAAACTTGTAAAATAACAAATAACAAATAATAGCGATAGTAAAAACAATATCTATTCATTTCATTTAATTAGTTTATTATAATTATACATGTATCATTTTTACCTGTGGATTTTCTACAGACTTTTTTTTCCTATAATTCAATTAGGGCAACATAACGCGATCAAAATTTTCTAGAATTTTTATCTCCGTTAACGTCAATCCAAAAAAATAAACAAGTATTTATTTTAAACCTCGAAACCTCTAGGATTTTTTTTTAATTTTAACCATTTTGTGAGACTGAACGATTTAAGTCAAAATTTTCAATTAGTAAATTTCGACCTACAGAACATTTTTTTAAGATAAAAACCAAATTTGGACCACTAATTAAAAATGGTCTACTCTACAAAATAAAATTCAGCTCAAAATTAAGATCCCGAAGGTCCGAATCTTAAATTTTTATGAAAAGTGGCATGTAGGTAGATTTGTAGAGTAGAACATTGTCCAAATTTTTGGTTTTTATCTTAGAAAAAAAATTTTGACTTAAAAATCACTCAGTTTCACAAAAAATGGTTAAAAATCCTAGAGGTTTCGAGGTTTAAAATGAATACTTGTTTATTTTGTTTGGATGGCATTAACGGATAAAAATTCTAGAAATTTTGATCGCGTGTGTGAGAATAAAAAGGCGCACTCAAATTATATAATAAACACATTGTTTTTTTTTAAGCACGTATACACAGACATTTCTACGTACATACTCGCATGGTCATTCATCTAAAAGTATGGGATGCAGAAAGACGAAAAAATCAACAATGGTGTAAAAATGAATCAAACGTCAAAGGCAAAATGTTTACTCTTTTTCGGATTTAATTTACCCCACTCACTTAGTCATACATATGAACATAATGGGCGTCGATTCTTTGTTCATTGTTCATTGTTGATGATTTATTTAGTCACTTAATTAACACTGTACATACCGAGAATATCCTTCGATTATCATGAAAAGACAATGCTGGAAAAATTGTTTTTACGTATGCAATCGTCAAGTGTCACATACATATCGATATTTATAATACTGATACGAATTTCATACATTAGCAACATTAGCAAATAAAATATCGATATGAAACATGTAAACCAATACGTATGAAGTTTTTCGTTTTTCCGCTATAAACAATGTACATTAACGCACTTAAAGTCGCGTTAGGGTCCATCCACAAAGTAAATCCTGACAATGAGGATTTTTTATGGTAGGTATGGGGGGGGGGACAAAATGTTTATGCTTCTTAGAACTCCACAATTTTAGCTTTTTACTAATCATAAGCAACCAATAATATAGAGATGACTTTATTTACTATAGTAAAAAAATATGTCTACATTACAAATAAGTTTATTTTGCTAAAATAATCACTTAATAAAAATTTTGAAATGCCCGGATTGACTCGGTTTTTGTTTCTCTAACCCAGAAATCCTCGAGTTTATAAGCTTTCATTATTAATATGGATTAAAGTTGCCTGTCAAAGCTCTTACAATAAATTTCACTCGATAAACCGGATTTTAGGAATTCTAGCTCTAATTGACCGACCACTCCGGTTTATCGGGGGCTTACTGTGTATCTTATTGAGAAGGGATAAATGAATAAGCATTTCAACAAAATATGGCCACAGACTATTGTGACGTCAAATTTCAATATTTGTTTGGATAATAAGCAAACAATTGCATGTATAATACAAGCTAAAATGTATTATTAGAAAATCGAATACCGATACTTCGGCGTAAAATCGTGTTTTCTTCTTTTCCTTTTAATGTCACATCACTATTTTTTCTCACAATTACACTACATGTATATACATGTATTATATATTCTAAGTTATACAATATTATCGTTATGCTAAGACGATCTTACAACTACGCAAGATATACTGGGGATCATTAGAATTATGACGCAATATATTGCGATAGACGGATTTCCGGTCAATAACGACCTTGCGATATAGTGAAAATCTCGAGATAATGAAATTTGAATTCTGAAATAATGAAGATTCTGTAATTTTCACTAATAGTCGACCACTTTGTACATTCTGAAATGACCAATTGCTTATTAAAAATCATGATAAAGTCTATCGTAATTCCTAGCTTTATGCGATGCATTGGAAACATTATACAATATCCTCCGGTAACACAAAATCTACATTTTTGGTAGTCTTATGAATTGGAGTGTATAAGTGATACAAAAATCCATATTTCTACAACAATCATTATCATTATAAAGTGGTACTTTATTTTGTCTTCTAAATAAGTGACATTTCTTTACATAAATAGAATTAATTATCTCCTTTAGAATAAAAGTAACGCGTAACTTTATCACCCGAATATCAAAGCATATGCTTGTTTCTCTCCGAATAGCAATAAATTGACTTTTTAATCGTTCACTTTGGAATTTAAAATTATTTGATCTGTGTTTAGACAATTAAGTATGAATTAGCCTTTATTTATAATGTACCGTCGCCGCAAGCCAAAAACAAATGCACACAAAAAATGAGGGAAACAAAAAAACTAGTTTACATTTCTAACGCGTTACATCGTTCATACGCTCTTCTTTTGTTCCAATTATATTGATCATTTTCCACTTGCCACCGAAAGCGGTGACGGATTTACTATGTAAATTTTATGCGGTTGAATGGTAGATTCTTTAACGAATAAATAATTAAAAATCAATGCTCGGGTACGCGTATCCTTAAAAAGCGCGTTTCAAATAGCGATACGACAAGTCATCGTAAAAATATCTGTTACGCCTATCAACGTCAGGGTGGTGTTTCGCGCATTTGTATATGGTGTACTTTGTTCTATTATTAATTTTTCTTTTAAGTTCGTGTTGATGTGTCCAATACGCCCACGAAATCTTATCTAAGCGGAATTTATCTCTCCAAGTTTGTGTACTTGACAATAATCAAAAGTTGGCTTAGCTTACTTACGCTCTATCTATCCTGCTGTAAAATGCATCCAACACTCTCACAGACATAAATAGGCAGACACATACGTATATTACGAGGATAAACAGAAAATTGAATAATTGTCAATTAAAGAAATTTCTATCTCTTTTTCTTTGGATTACTTGTCGCCCAAATACGGCGTTTCTGATAGATAGAAAGCAGTCAGCTAATCTAACAACATATAATCTTTACTCATTTCATTGTAACAATAATAGATATTGTTCATTTATGTATTTCAAACGTAATGCTATCGAGACAATTCGTAATAGTAATGATTAAAAATTCTAAATACATGTACGAAGAATTTTGGATTTCTAGTAACACATTCATTGATCGAACCATATCGATATCAATATACTCTAAATCATCGTTCGGGCATTATCGTTATTAAAAGCACGTTCAAAAGAGGAATATTATATAAGCCTAAAAAAAGGTATTAGCGTTGGACTGTACTAACTATTGGTTTTGTTTGTCGTTGTTGTCGTCGGTTATAATGGCACATGTAGTATACATGTGCCATGTTCATGTACAGTATCTCAAAAAGTAACGCCCGGTCCAAACTTATACATGTATAATAAAACATAAAAAAATGGAAAATTTCAATATCTAAATTTTTTATAATAATTATTTCTAAATTTAATATCATTTTAAAGCTAATTGATTGTATTTTTGAAAAAAATGAACAAGGTTATGCCACTTTTAAAATGAAAGTACTGTTTTAATTATAAAATCAACAAAGAATTTTTTATATGTATTAATTTTAAATCGGGCGTTACTTTTAGGGGGTACTGTACTCATAAAAACCAAAATTGAGAACAACGAAAGGATGATTCAATATCTTATCACAATATTTAATTCTTATACAAGTCACGACATGGTCATGTCATTATTATATAAAGCTTTCTATGTATTTCTTAATATATTTTGACTCACGTGTCTAATTAGTATCGAGTAATTATTACATCTTTATCTATATGAGTGAGTCTTTCTTTGTATGAGGGAAACAGTAATTATAAACCAAATCAATATTTCTTTTGCATATGTACTAATAATAAAGATGCATCTTTCAAAAATACATTCGCGTCAAAGATTTCAATTCGAAACCTTTGCTGTTAAGTGTTAAAAGTGAACATTATTTCTGTAAGATGAAGGTGGATATATGCACCATTTTTCACAGCGGATACAAAGACCTTCGTATCTTGTAAGCACATTAATCAATTATTTTAATCTATCAAGATGAAAACCAAAAAAGCAAAATCCAATCTTGAAGATTCAATGTACTCTTATGTCATTTTACGAAAAGGGATTCGTCCTTAATACAACGTTTGTCATGGTATTTTTATATTGTAATTATTGTTTAAATACCCCCATTTTATATGGAGAAATTCCGTTGATTAAAATCTTATTATGCATGAAGCGAAAAGATCATATTGTAATGATATTTTTAATTAATTGTCAAAAAAAAGAAAATTTATCCTCAATTAGTTATTTTTCATGTGTTATTAATCAAATTTTTGTCTCAGGTATAATCGAACGCTGTAACAAAATCTCAAGGGTAAAATCGAGTACCGTGATGTCAAAAAATCAATGTGGGGGATTTATTTCCTCACCGTCCTAAGAATCCTGGTGTTCAGCGATTAGGTGTGATCACTTCTGGTGATCGTGATGCTGATGAAAAAGAAATGCTTGCTATGAAGAAAAAGAGTTTTCAGAGGGGAAAAAGTAGCAACAGTTATTGCAAGATGATGATGATGATCATGGATTAATTCCTAATCAATTTAATAAAAAAGCCAATAAAACGACTGATATTTTTATTAAAATAAGTCACCGTTATCGTTATATTGATCACTATACAAAAAAATAAACATCAACTCGCTGAATCTAATTACAGAAAGTATGGAAGCAACCAATGATATCATCGTGCAAAATCCAATGTCGCCAAGTCTATCAAAAGTCAATCTTGAGACTACTCGAAGATCACCGCTATGCATGCCGAGATTACCTCTAAAAGTTCGCCGAAGGAAAGAACGTCGCTACTAACGAGAGAAAAGCTGGAGATGACGAGATCATTAGCATGTGATCTAGATCACGAGATCGTATAATTGCTGTAGATATATGCCAATTATTAGATCACATCAAGATTAGATTCTATAATTCCCGATGTCAGATTCTGATTGATTAATAAATCAAACATTAGTGTCCCAAGCCAGATCTGGTTTTTTCTAAAATGACAGCTCGTTGAGCTGGCTTTATACTTTCTATATTAAGAATTTTCTATTTTTATTGACTAAAATTATAATACATATTTATGTTTGGAAATTGATACTGAAAATAAGCAACACGCAAAATAAGCAAAACCTCCCCCTTCCAACCAAAACCTGTGAAATGGCTAGTTCCGAAAATAAGCTACACCTTTTTTTAGATCCAAGGTCTGTGCTTAAGACTAATTCCGAAAATAAGTTACCCTCCACTCTCAATATACTGGAAGACACAAAAAATATAGCTTGAGCACTAAATAAAAATATCAGTGAGATCATTTTACATATAATTTTGATTCCTAACTCTTAAAATTAATCTTTGTTTTCAGATTTTTGCCTGTATCACGTAAACCCGAAAATAAGATACCTCTCCTTATTATACCTTTCAATATGAGTAACTTTTCACACTCGTAATAAATTTATTATAATGTTGTTGTCTTACTATAAAAAACTGAATTTAGATATTTATAGTAATATTATTTTAAATTTAGAAAGTAAATATAATGCTAGCTGAGCTAGTTTTTAGAAATATCAGCTAGCTAAGCTGGCTAGCTGGCTTGAAGCTGATACTTACTGGCTAGCTTGGATCACTAAAAAAAACTCTCAAAAATAAGCTAATTCTCCATATTTTGAAGCCTAAAATAATTTTTGGTAGAAGTTACCAACTGTTATTTTAGTTCTTTTAACAATATTTGTATAGCAAAAGATTTTTATATAGATTTCTTTTTATAGTTATAAGAAAAATTATAGAACAATTATAGAACAAGTTAATAATTATCCAATTAATTATTAATTGATAATTAGTAATTTGTTTAATTAATTATTATAAGAAAAAGATAGAATTAATTCTATCATATATATAATACAATATTTAATCAATATATCTAATTATTTAGAAATTAATAATATATTTATTGCTAGTTAAAATAATATATTCATACAATAAGAATACTATTTTAAATATATATATATCTAAATAAAGAATACATATAAACTATTTTGAAGTAATATTTTATTGATAATTCTTTTTCATATATCTATAAAATAATATATCTATTTTTTTTCTTGTAACTTAATTTTATAACTTATTATCTGTATATATTTTTTATTAATTTATAAGTAAAAAAAGAGATAATAATTTTATATAATTTGTATAGATTATTTTATATTATTTAATTATATGTTAAAAACTAGAAATATATAATTATATTTCAATATTACTATTATTAATATTCAATTTTAATTATTTATTATATTGTTATATAATAAAATTTCATATCAATTATTAGTCAAAATTATATTTGATTTTATTGGATAATTTTGAGAATACATATTTATATTTTATTTAGTTAAGATCTTTATATTTACACCATTTTATATTCTCATATTATATTATTATTTGTATTATATTTACAGTCATATCTCAATATAATTATATCATCAGAAATTCAAAAAAAAAGTGTAATTATATTAAATTATATTTATATAGAGATATTTTTTTATAAGCTCTATATTAATTGATTTTTAAATGTATATAATTATAAAAATTTTGTACTTATATAAAGGATATTTTTATATAGTTAATTTTCAAAATATGAATGATTATATCAAGATTTTTATATGATATGACTATATCAAGTGTGACTATAATGAGATACAATTATATATTATTATTTATATTATTATTTACAAATATATAAATTATTTATTTATATTATATTAGATGATTTATATTTATATTAGATCATAAAATAAGTAAATAAACAAGTAATTAAGTGAGCAAATAAGTAATTTTCTTGTAAATATTATTAATAGTTTTAATTTAGTAATTTTTTATAAAAGAAATATATATTTTAGCTTAGAAAGTTAGTCAAAAAAAGTTAAATCAAGTCAAGAAAAGTCAAGTCAAGTTCTTATAAAAATATTAATAACTAAAAATAAATCTCTTTAATAATAATATTTTTTTGAAATTAATATAATTAGAATATTAATATAATTTCTTTTATTATTTCATTATTTAAGTTTTAAGTTTTATATTAGTTTTGTTATAATTTCTTATATATTTGTAATACTATAGTAATAATCTTTTATATATTTGTAATATTATATTTATAGTTGATCTCTCACATATTTGTGATATCATATTGTTAAAATAATTTAATAAACTAAATTCATAATATTTTACTTATCTATAAATTATTATCATAATTATTATATTATATATATATTAAATTATAAAAAGATTTTTTAAGTTATTTTCTAGCTAACTAGTATTTAATAAATATATATATCATTATCTTTATTTATCTTATTTCTCCCACCTGACTTAAAATATATTGTTACAGTAGTAATATAAAAATCGTTAATTTCAAAAATAATTAAAAAATACAAAATATTCAAAAATATTCATATAATAAGAATCCTTCTAAAAAAATTACTTTTCATCATTTTAATTACTTCTCATCATTTT